TCAGCCTGTTTATGACTGACCTGATCATTCTGACCCCCAAGTAGATTATTTTTTTTAAATAAATCATTTGGTTTGGCTGACTCCATGGATCAAATTCATGAGATTATTTCCAAATCTCCCTACGCCTGGTCCATGTAGACCCAGCTGCAACCTCTGTCAGAAAGCTCTGCTCCTGCGGGCTGCAGAGTGATTCTTGTTCATTCTTTCATGTTATTCCCACACTTCAGAAGTCTGGAGGGAAGCTGAATGTTTGCTGTTCTGGGATCATTTGAAGCCGGGCATGCAAAGAGTTCCGAGTCACTTTCAAGTCTGCCCGTAGGAAATCTTTCTTGGCAACCAGACAACTAGAATTAGTTATTAAAGGCATGTCAAATGAATAAAGACACCTCTGTGAGGAAAACCGCAAGAGCAGTTACTTTTTCTAATATGAATAGGAGGCTAATATCAAATCACCTTTAATTTTCCACTCTTTCTTTGTTGTTTCGATGGTAGGTCAAATCTAATAATACAGATACAACAGAAAACCATTTCTGTTTTCACCTATTGCAATACATATGCCCACTGCAGATGTGTGACTTAAAGACCAGGGTCTGGAACTTAAATACGTACCTGCACACTAGCATTCTCCCACGTGCCAAGCCTGTGTTGCCCTCACAGGTTTTAAGAAGCCAACCCATGAAATGGAACAAGGCCCTGTTTTGTGTATAAACCATGCATCTCATAGAACCAGGCCATAGTATTTGCAAAAGTGAAGGAGGGCCATGAAGACCCAGCCATAAGAACTTGGGGAAATGTAGAGGGAAAGCACTTGCCTGCTTTCCAGATGGGAGTCACTGAAGACTTAGTAAGCTCTGTTTTTCATGTTGCCTAATTTGAGGTCACTATGGGTATACTTGTGGACCCTGAGAAATGGTGACTATCAGGAAGTGCTGTATCATGACTAGGAGGCTTCAGGAATGTGGCATACTGTCTAGGCTCAAGCCCTGGCACTGCTTTGCTGTGTTATAATGGACAAGTTGCTTGATTTCTCTGGCCCTCATTTTCTTCATCTATGGAAGGGGGACAGTAATACCTATCTCACATGGTTGTTATGTATATTAAAGGGTCAAATTCTTTCAGAGACTCTAGAACAGATGTTTGGCAAGGCATAAATTCTCAATGACTGTTGACAATTATCAACTATATTATTATTATTCAATGGGGAGAGGTATCCATGGGTGAATGGGCTTTATCTGGGGGTGGATCACATATGTCTAAGCAATATAAACTTTGTATGGAAGGGAATGTGGTTGATTGAGAGAATCCAATTTGATCTTTTGCGGTCTATTCACTTTAGAAGTTGTTCTGTTGGATAGATGACTTGAGTCTTCTTGGACAAGGTGAAGCTACTTCCACATTGATGTCCTCCTGGGCAAATCAGTTAACCTTCTGGATGCTGAGGATTTTATCCAGGACCAAACATACAAAAATTGTTTAACTGGTTAAACTCACTTTAGCCTTCTAGAAATTAAAACCCAGAAGGTGGGTCCCGGGGGACAAGCTCCCTTTAAGAGTTTTATGGCATGCATTTTGGATGTCTAAGAGATTTGGATACCTTTTCCTTAAACTACCTCTTAAGAACCAAGAGGTAGTTTTTTGTAGTATTTATCTGTATCTCGGTTCAGGCCACAGTTGTGGGCTTCCTGACCCTAGTCGTTACCTTCAGGTTAACCCCTGCCTCCAGGTCTTGGTAACATCAGAAGCTTGCCTTCCCGGTTTCCTCCCCCTTGACACCAAAGCTGATCATCTGCTAGTCTTGGAACCACACTATGTCACTGTTTGAGGGTGAAAAAGATTTTCTCTGGCCAAACTCTGCTCAATATCCCCTGAACTCTCTTCTGAACTGATCCCTGAATTTTGGGCTTCCATATTTATGATCATTAATCAATTTTAGCAAGAATCCTGCTAAGTCAGGTTAGTCAGAATCACACACTCTATATATAAAATCCTCCTCAACATCTAACCACGATTCCATTCTCCACAATCTCCCAGTGGTGTGGTCTGCCATCGTCAAGGATCCCATAAAGGTAGGTTTAATCAGAGTCCCCCCTTAGACCTGATGCTTTCTCTTAGTCATTTTCCAACCACATACCCTCCTCATCCTGCTTCTTGGCTATCAGTTCTCACTTTTCCATGGTATTTGGAGTTGAGCCCAACTCTCTCCCCTATCACAAAACTCCATTGTAGCTACTCCCTTTCCAAGTAAAGTCTGCTTTACTATCTTTAACAAATGTCATGAATATTTTTTTCTTTTGTGGAGTTGGTGGGTTTGCTCTAAGAGAGTAGAGATTGGCCGTCTGTCATGGTGCCCCGATTTACTAGTACAAACTAGAGGATGGTTAAGAGTTCTGATACATTCTCTGGGGGCAGTTAGTAAAGTGACATCAGGGATTCAAGAGAACTCAAACCATTTGCCCTTGTGATCTGCCTTTTGATGCTTGATATTTTTAGCTGCAATAATTAACTTAATAATTAACTATTAATAGCTAACAGTTAATGATTAACTGATCAATCAATAACACTTGTCTAAATTATGTGCCTAATTTCTTTGATCAGGACTTCAGGATGTGAATTTTAAAAAAAGTAACTTTGTCCTTTTTAAAATATTTATTTTGCTCATTTATACTCCCTCTTTGTTTCAGGAAAGGGTTTGAGGTGGCTAATTTTTCAAGGCAGAATCCAAAATAAAGATGGAAACAGGAAACTTCATTTAGATACAGAGATATGGCCATCTGTATGAAAGTTTGCCTTTGTGAATCACAGCAAGCAGTTGATTGACTGGACCTTCCTTTTTCAACTAGTGGTGGTGTTCTAGAAACAGAGCCTAAGGCTTTGGGCAGAGGATGGAGCCTGTGTGTGTCTGTGTGTGTTTGCATGCAGAAAGTGTATGTGAGTGTGTCCTGACAAAGCCGCCAATGAAATAGCGGAAGTCCCTGCTTACCCTATTTCATCCATTCTTGTGTCAAAATGAAGAGACAGAAGTTATTACATGAGGAAACTGAGGTTAAGAAAGATGAGAGAGACTTGTGACTCACTATAGCCAGCCTGTGCCCATGTGCTTTATTTCCTGTGCTTATTCCAGGGACTTGGGCTCGTGGTTGGAGGTGCTTGGTTCTCTTTCCTCAGTCACCAGGACTCACCAGGAGTCATCCAGATGTAACTATGACAGTGTGTCTTTCATCTACCTTTGGGGGGGACCCCCAAGGGAGAGGAGCTCCTTTTCTGTCCCATAGGCCCATGTCCCTCTTGCCAAGGCAGAGTGCTATCATCCAGAAGGGGAGGTCTGTGAGCTTTCTGCAGCCACTTCCCGGGACTGGGGAATTCTGCAGAACCTCGCTGCCCCAGCACTCCTGAGCAAAGAGCCAAGTCAGGGTAAGCCTGTGCATATAGGGCCTCAATTTCAGATCAGATTCACAAATTTAATTTCCTATTCCTTAATTTAATTCTGCATTTTAGTTTTGTTTTTATTATTTACATGGGTTCCCTTTAATGATTCCAAATTGCTGCTGCCCTCTAGCAGTATTTTGTCTTAGGTTAACTTCTTGAAAACCGATCAGCGTTGGAGTTTATTCCGCACTGGGTTTAGTTATTTTCTGAAACGAAGCACAATTAAATTAGAATAATGAACATGCTCTTTAGAGGATTAATTCATAATAAGCAGGCCATGTGCTACAGCTCACAGAAGAAAGGGCACGAGGACCGAAAGCTGTTTTTTCTGCCTAAATACGAAAAGTACATTCTGCAGAGCAGAACAAATCAGCTAATGACATCCAGAGCGCTGGCCAGCCCCAGAGCGGCACAGAGCTGGCATCTCGAGTTAGCGCAATCCCCACCAACACTGCTGCCTACCTTCTCTCCCTGGCAGTGGGTGGGCAATTTGCCTGGCTCCTTTCTCTTCTATACAGCTGATAGAGGTCACTGAAGCCTTCTAAATTCTACCCTCAGAAGCTGAAATTCTACAGCCTGTGGCTTCCCAAAGCTCACCCACCCATCTATGTATCCATCCACCCATCCATCCATCCATCCATCCATCCATCCATCCATCCATCCATCCATCCATCCATTCATCCATCCATTCAGCAAATGTTTTATTGAGCTCCTGTTCAACCATTCATGGACATATCCTTGGGAGATATCAATGAAGACAATAGATTAAGATTCCCACCCTTCTGGAAGTTACAACAGAGACAGACAACAAACAGTAGAAATAACAAATTAAATAGCACCTTAGAAGGTAGTGAATGCTGAGGAGGAAGGAAGGTTCAGAGTAGGGTATGTGTGTGGCCCACTTTTAAATATAATGTGTTAACGTAGATTCATGGAGAAGATGTACATTGACCCAAGATTGGAGGGACTTTCAAGAGAATCCCAGAAGCACTCTTAGGACTCAACAAACAACTTAGGACAAAAGCTTTAATGTAGAAATATGACTGACAAGTTGAAGAAGAATGAAGCCAATGGGGCCTGAAGGGAAGGAGAGAAGGAGAGACAAGTAGGACCAGATCATGGGAAATCACTCAGAGGTTTGAGCAGAGCTAGACCATGAGCTAGACCATGATCTGACTCACGCAAAAGGCCTTCTGACTAGGTGAGAGCAGACTTGGTGGAATGTTATGGGTTAGGGTGAGTGGAAGCTGGGAGAACTGTCAAGAGGTGAACAACTTAGGGCTTTAACGAGCCTAGAGTCCCTTCATACTATTTTCTCTGAACTCCCAACATGTTGAGTCTGGCCTCACAGCCAGGCCTGGAGGCTTAGGGTCTCCTGTAGCCCCCTTCACAGAAGGCCCAGGAAAGTGCTTTTCCAGAAGCTGTGAGGCAGGTTCAGCAGCATTATTTCTGGTTTGGCTCAGGAGACCCCTCTGTCTCCCTGTTCACTGACCCACAGACCAAAAAGCCAGAGCCTGTGATGGAAGGGTTTGTGGGCAGGTGGTAGCTCTCTTCTGTCCTCTGGGTTTTCTTAGGTGCCTCTGAGAGAGAGACACCCTCTCAGCCAGGTACCTGACAAAGTGACATCTGATGTCTTCTGCTGTGCAGCTGCCACTGAAATGGGACAGATCAAAGCAGGAGAGGACCAACATCTGTGGCCACCAAAGCAAGAAAGAGGTGCAAACAGACTGAAGAATAAATAAGGAGATGAATGATTAATGGATGGGGGATGAATGATTAATGAATGAATGATGAGTAATTGAGTGTACAGCCCAGACCCAACTCCTCCTTTCTGCTCTTTGGGTATGTTCTCTTCTGGGAGTCAGGGAATAAAGAACTTCCCAGGGCCCTGACCTCCCTGCTGGAGTTAGGATGTCACTGCTGTTTTACTCTGAAGGTGGAGGAGTCTTGGTGATGAGTGGGACCCAGGGCTGCAGCAATTGAGGCAGGGGTGGGAGATACCTGGGGCAGCCTGTGGATTCTGTGGGAGAGCACTGAGGATCTTGGAGCGGGGGAAGATGTGGGGCGAAGAAGACGAAGGGGTACTCATCAAAAGATGAGTATAGACGATTGCCACTGAAAAGATAGTTTGTAATAGTCATAGGCTTCAGAGAAGGGACACACCACTCCATGGGGGGCCACATTGGAAGCAGCCAGGAAGCAAAGAGGAAACCTGGGAATGTAGCCAGGCAGGGTAAGCAGATTTATGATTGGCTAGTTTGAGTATTTTCAGTAGGCTCTGGGGCATGGGAGGAGGGCGGGGGGTGGGGGGCTGTTCTAGTGTGTCAATAATTGTCTGGTTAGATTGCCAGGGAAATTAGGTTGTCTAATCTCCCTAGGGAGATTAGGGCCAGGGATAGTGGCTTGGCATGTTGGGGGTATGGACCCTGGGATGGTTGGTGTGCATAGGAAAGGTGTGTTGGTAGGTGACACTTTCATTCGCTCTAGGAATTGGTTAGTCCTAAAAGGAACAATCTCTCCAGCATCAGTTAGGCCCTAGACACCAAAGCATCAGACATAGAGACAATAAAGACATCAAGGAAAGAGGAGAGATTAGTTTTGCTTTTCTAGTCCCACAGTAGACATTCTGCTGGTGCTGACTCTTACGTTAATCTTGTTCTAGAGACTATTAGGATAGAGAAATCCATTTCAACTGAGAGTGTGAGTATAGTATCCCAATGGGCAGAAAACATCAGATACTGAAATTTTCAGAAACTTCCATTGGTGAATCAGTCTGGTCATGACTCCAGCCTGTGTCCAGTAACTCTCCGCTGCACCTCCATCACCCAGATACTTCATGTGCCCTCAGTGGGGAAAGTGCAAGGAAGCAGTGTCTGGAGACCCTGGTGGGCCTTCTGGCTCCCTTCTGGAGAAGGGTCTGGCTACAGGTCTCCCACAGAATCTAGACTGTGAGTTTGAGATTAAAATATCACTCAGAAGAATGTGTGCACTTTCACTTTATTTTCTGAACTTGAATACTACTAATAAAAATGGATTCCATTAATTGAAAGTTTATTAAATATTAGATGTTGGGACAAGGGCTTCACATTCTTTGTCTCTTAATTCTCTTATCCACCCTAGGACACAGTTATCTTACCTTCATGTTGCCAATGAAACTGAGTCTCAGAGAGACTAAAATACTTTCCGGCAAGAGGTGGAGTCAGAATTGAACCCAGACTGGCCACTCCACGCTGAAAATTGAAGGGACTTTTCTTGGAGGCATCATCTGACAAGCCTATTGATGTGGAATCCTTTGGACATATGTGTGTAGAACTCCTTCCTAGACATGCACACATGCGCATTTTTGCTAAGACATTTCCCAGAAATTTCAGGGTGTCGCTGGCCCTCTGGTACTCACAAGCCTTGCTTTTTGGTATTTCACTTTCTACAGGGACCGTTTTTTTTCTTTCTTGTAATCCAAGGGCACAGGGCAACCCTCAGGTTCCCTAAAATCAACCCAGTGGGGAATGGAATCAGACAGGACAGGTTAATCAATGAAAGCTCACCACATGCTCCTTCCATAATTGCATTCCTGTCTTTTCATCCTAACAGCCAGCACTTAGGATAATTGCATTCCAATAAGGCTCCCAGGTCTGGGGCCTCTGGGGCCAGCCCTGGAACCTGTTGACATGCCATCTGCTTCCAGAGGGGTTCTGGAGACCCAGACAACCTTTCAAAATTCTTCTCTGTTGTCTTTGCCATAAGAGAGACAAAGGACCCTGTAACAGATCTTGTCCCAAATCCCACTTTCTTAACCCACCCATGTCAGCCCTAGAGCTAAGGAGGTATCCTCTGTGTTGGGCTGACTTTCTGAAATCAAAAAAGCAGCACCTGTTACTCCCAGTGGATGACCTTTCCAAACATCTGGCTTTGGAACAGGGTGGCCCCCACAGGGCCCAGATCAGCAGAACCTGCCCAGGACTAAAGAAATAAAGGATTGGGAGGCCTCTTAGGGGCTGGATAGTGTACTGCCAATTTCACACACTTATTCATAAGACTTACTGGAACCTTCCTAAAGAGGTCCCATTCATTACAAAGAAAACCCTTGGTATGAGGAGGGAGGGAATCTTCAGAAACAGTGATGTTTTATGAATCTACAGAATGTTATTTCCAGAAATATAACTTCCTCTAAAGAAAGCCCATACATTCTCCAGGCACAATGAAATCCATACAATTAACGAAAAAAGTGCAGGGATCATGGTTATTTGTGTGTCACTGTTTCCCAAACCGAGATGGTGGTGCTGCGTACCCCCACCAAAGGAGTGAGGTATAAGATGGAGAGGTCTCCTGTTTGTTGCATGACTTACAGATGCTCTCTCATCCACCACAGCCCTGGACCCTATTTTGCCTGTGAAGATAAGACTCCTTTGAGGCTCTTCCTCTTCTTGAATTTAGCCCCAAGAACTTCCCTCTACCCTCACACATGCCAAGCTTCCTTGTGCTACATCCTTAGGCAGGGCCGAGAACTGATTCCCTCCTCTCTGCTGAGACCTTTCTGCCTTGGCTCAGAGGAGACAGGTTGTTTCAGGATGGCAATGTTCTTGCTACCAGAAGGTGAGGGAGGGAGGTTCGAGGATTATTCTTGGGTGGCTAATCCTCTTCTATCATAATCCCTGTGGCTGATCTGTGGTTTAGCAGAAGGACCATTGACTCTTCAGCAAGGGAGGCCAGTGTTTGAATGCAGGCTCTGCCAATCACAAGCTCTGCGTCATGAGGCAAAATATGTCTGCACTCTGAATTTCAGTTTTTCCCTTTGAGGGGAAATGTGAAAATAAGATTAGTGTACAGGGTTGATGTTGAAGAGATGGCATGTGCCGTGCGCCCTGCATTTGATACTTGATCTTCTTACCCCGTGTGAAGACACACATCTCTAAAGCATCTGGCACATGTCAGTGGGTACAATTGGGCTGTTCTTTGCCAGCACACTTCACTTTATTCCATTCTTGCTTTATCCTGAATCCTCTCTCTACTTACAGCAGAGAACCTGAACTCTAAATCATCCCTTTGGGCTTTTCCCAGAGACCTTGGTTCGTATTTAAGAGGTTTAATTAGCATCTCTCCTGGAGTTCACACCAGTGGACAGTGCAACCTCAGAAATAGGAATGGGGACACCCACGGACAGGTCAGTTTGACCATTCCTGCCTTTACTAGTTTAACGCCAGGGTCTTTATATGGGTGAGTAGGAGCCATTGGGACCATGGGATGGACACAACCACCACTCAGGGCCATGTGTACTACCCTCGCCACTGCAACCCGTCCACTGCCAGGATCACACCATCATGTGTCACCAAGAGCTGACACCCTAAGTCACAGCAAACAGACCCTCAAAGAGGATCCCAGAGCGACCATTTTTGGGCTTTATATGCTTGCAGGTTGTGTTTAAAAGGAATCCTGAAGTTTCCAAGAAAGTAGAGGGGGAGGGGGCACAGTGAAAGGGGTCAGAACTGGCCAGAGGAGATTACGAATTTAATTAAACTGACTGTTTGGGTAAGAGCTTTTAGGTGCAAAGCTGCTTTGCATGATAATGGAAGTTTATCTGAGTTCCATTCTCCTGAAGGAAGCTTCCTTTACACTTAATTACTGTGGCCTGTAAACCTGGCTGCTTGTTAATGCCCCACCCTAGGGTAAACAGGGCCTCCACACCGTCAGCTGAGCTGGTAGCTGCCAGTTAGTTAGCTGTCCCAAAGTGAGGCCTGTAGTAGCACCAGGCCATATCTAGGTGAGCGAAGGCCTTTAAGATGACTCGGCAAAGCGAATTCTGGCTTGGTGGTAACCTCTGAAAGACCCCAAAGGGCTCCATAGTCACCCAAGCCAGCAGAGAATGACTCAGATTAGGCTGCTGTTACGGACCTGGGTCTCTTTTCTCCAAACCACAAACGGGACCGCACTCATCTGATAGGCTCCTACTGCTGACTAGTGGCCGGGTCGGGCTGAAGAGTGTGGGCTGTGTGCTGGGTGTCTTTGGGGCCACAGGGAGACTGGCTGGCTGGTCAGGGTGGAAGGCAGAAGCCCTGAGGTAGAAGGACTGCATCTTGTGTTTGGTGGTGGTAGTAACCGTTTTTCTAGGTAAAGAACAGTGTTCACTGATGCATCAGGAAAAAGCAGGAGAAAGAGCGGAGGTTGGTTGGGGTGGGGGTGTAGGAGGTGTCAGAGTGCCTGACCCAAAGAGCAGGGGACACACAGAGATGGGCTTGGCATTTAGACTCCAGACTCAGGCAGACTAGGGAAGGGTTAAAGGGTTTGGGAACTCCTGTTTCCAATCACTTGTCAGCCAGCTTTGCTCTCATCCTTATCAGCAGGGATAGGGCCTCGCTGGGAGAGGTTCTGAGAGTTGCACTTCCCAAGCTCCCAACGTTCTCATTACCTTCTAAGGGCTCCCTGGCTGAGTGTGTGGGGGTGGGGGGTGGGGAGAGGGCAGTGGGTAGGGGCTGGGAACCCAAACACATTTAATGGAGTGGAGTGTGAGTTACTAAACACAGCCCTCGGGTGGTGGGGGGCTGTAGAATCTCAGCAGTAAACCCTCAGTCAAACTGCCCCTCCTCCTTCCCCTCCTCAGCCGAAAGCCAGATTAGTGCAGGCCAAGTCTTTGCTCCTATTTAACTCACCACTGTTTTTCCTTTTAGAGCTACCACCTAGTCATAAATCTCCATTGTGTATTTGTGCAGTGATTTTGGAACTCAAGTAAAGGACCTTTCATTTCAGGTGAAGTTCATCTTGGTGGGTCTGACCTGGGGTAGCCCTTGGAAAGGCCTGCCGCTTACATTTCTGCCAGCCTTCCCACCTAGTTACTAACCGTCCCAGTTTCAGACACTGGAGAATTTGAGAAAGCTGATTTCTATATCTTCATTCAAGGCATGGATTTGAAAGATGTTGCCTAGGAGAGGGCTGAGGGCAGAGCAACGGTCTCACTAATACAGACTTCAGCTCTGTCTGCTCTGGGTGTGGTTATTAAACTAGAGACTCATCTCCCATATTGTGCCTCTCTATAAGCCACCCATGTGTGCAGAAGGCTACCCTGGAAAGGAAATGTGCCTTTCTGAAATCCAGTATGTCCCCTGAATCTCCCGGATGTGTCATTCTAATAACACTGCTAAAGAAGCAACTAAGGTTTGTGTGATATTTTGCAGTGGACAGAAGATAAGTTATGAATGCAAATATTCACACTCTTGGAAGGAGCAAGCATTGCCTGCCAGGAAGAACGGGTATATGTTTCAGATTTGCCAGGAGTCTGACCGTAAAAGAGAACTGGCCAAGAACAGAAATGGGATCTAAAGGAGAGTGACTTAATAAAAGCAGAAACTGGGGCAACAGTGTATGGGAAAGGCACCAATACCAGTGATTGGGGGGCACAAACCAAGATTCTCTCCTGAAGAATCAGCCACAGGCCTTGATTCTTCTAAATCTAGAAATGCCAGTAAAGACTGGATTCCCCAGTCCGTTTGGGCCTTCCTGTCTTTGGTAATGTGGTTCCTCCTGGCATCCCTTCCTGCTGCCTTCCTTTGAACCTCTGGCCATCTGTCATTTTCATTACAAGTTTGACATCCTCTAACAAGTCTCTTCTTCCTCTCCATCACCTCTATTTCCAGATTTTTCAGCTAGAACTCACTACTCCCAACGTGACCTTCTTTTCCTTATGTGTGCTCCCACTTGCATTCCCAAACCCCAACTGTATTGTACAGAGTTAAGAATAGTTTTGAAGTCCTGAAGGCAGGCAGGGCAGAAGATTGTCTGTGGAGGAGAGGTGCTAGGCAGGAATTTGTTGAGGAGCAAGATCCTAACTCCATGATTTAAAGAGTGAATCCACTGCTGTTTGATTCCCAGGCTAAGACAGACATGGGAACCTCTTGATGTTTTTGTCACACTCAAATTGCTAGCCTGACGACTCATGTGTCCTTTTACCAGGCAGAACAATCTCTCTTTCTAGAAGACTGCCACACATTTCTTGCAGTTAATTAAAAGGCGCACAGAAAGTTTCATGTCAGAGACCTGCTCAGCTAGTCCTGCCCTTTGAGCAGCAGAGGATCTGAGTCTGAAGTAATTGATACTCTGGGCCATATTGAGTTTCTAAACATTTAGCTCAAATGGTAAGCATTGCCTCTAACCCCCTGGGCTCGAAAGTTCACCAATTGTCCTTTTTGCACAGACAGAGCCCTCTGTCCCTGCTGGTGCTAGGCTTCTTTGCTCCACTTTCCACTTAAAGGCCACTCCCATGGGGCTGCACCTCCTGGAGCCTCAGAGACAAAAGCTGTCGGAGGAGCAGATGTCCTCTCAGAAATTTCCCATGTAGATCACATTCCCACTTGCCTGCGGTCCCATTTCTTCCCATTCCTTGAAATCTCAAACAAGTGATTTTAATGGCTCTTCTAGGGTGAGTAAGGCAAGCTTGAGACTCTTTCTGTTGGGGTAGAAAGAGCTTGGTTGCACTGATTGATATCTTGCCTTTACAGAATAAAATGATTTGTACATGAAAATTATAGATGGGTTGCACTATGGGAAACAGATTCTTCTTGAATTGCATCTAAACCAAGCCACGTCACCAGATGAGACACTGAAAGGAAATTGAAAATCCTTTTTGATAAAAGTTTTTGAAAATACATTAACTGAGTCTGATATTATAAAGCAGTGTCCACTGTAATGAAAGGAATGACTCCCTTCTTGATTGAGCTTCATTTTGGTGTTTATTTCACTTTCCATTAAGATTTGACAAGAAAGAATATTTTTGATAGAGCACAGAGAAATAAGGATAGTGGGAGAGGTGCATATGAGGAATTTTGGGGTGTAGAATAGAGATGATGTGACTATTGGTTTTCAAATTCCTGTTCTGTATAGCTGTGGAAAGAACCGTGTTTTCCTAGTAGAAAACTCAGCCAGATTATTCCCTTGGAGATAACATAGAATGAGAGAAAACACACACACATTTTGGGAAGTCAAAAGAATGTTAATGAAATTGTTGATTGTTACCCAAATAAGTTGAAAATAAGCCCTTATGATACCAAATATTAAAAGCAAAACTCTAAAACAACAACATGGATTCATTCTTTTCTAAAGCAAATTATGATTTGAGCAATAGGGACACAAAATCCATCAGGCTTGGGAAGACTGTACTGTGTTGGAAACGCTATATTTATGAATGGCATCTCTCATTTCCTGCCTGATTATGAAGGTAGTTCTTAATCAACTAACAGTCATTTATTGAGCACACAGTATTACTGCTTATTACATAGACATATAATGACGATACCTTTAGAAATCCTTACAACATTTCTAGGAGCAGGTGTGTAGTTATTAACTCTTTTACCAATAAGGAAACTGAGGCCTAAAGTGGCTAAACACTTGCTGAGCTTCATAGGAAGCATCCAGCGGGAAAAGCAGAGAACTTAGGAAGTCCTATAAGCCACTGCACACTACTCCTCCTTTTCGAGTACCCAAGTGCAAGATAAAAAGAGAAAAGGGTGAACCCAACACCTGGGGAGTGAAGTTCTAACCTGTGCAAAGGATGGGAATGGTGGGAAGGAGAAGCGTTTGAATTGAGCCTTGCACGGTGGGTGAGATTTCTAGAAGTGGTCACAGGGGAAACATTTTCAAGAAGGTTGACATGCACCAATGTACAAAACTGGAAATGAGAAAGGTGCATTGGGACTTTCACCATTCTGTTTGTCTGGGGAAGTTTTCTTCCCCTGTGATAGCAGCAGATGAGCTGGAACTGGGCGGATGCAGGAGGGATCAGGGCCTCTCATACTGCCAGTCACACGGGCCACCTCAGGCGTCTTGTTAAACACAGCTTCTGCTTGCTTTAGCAGATCTGCAGTGCCAGCCCCCAGGGATGCCTAGGCAGCTGACCTTGAACTACAGGGGGCATCTGAGTCTTGCTTACCTAGCTCAGGGTATTGGTCCTATTTGGTAAGCCCAGGACTGCAGGGAAATTAGGTTTTAGTAAGATGTTTGGTGCTAGTGTGGATGCTCTGGAGGGAGTTCAGGCTTAGGAAAGCAGAAACTGTCCCACCTAGTTCAGAGGGGTAATTTCACCCTTGGCCTCCAGTGGTCACTTATGCATCGAGCTGCCTCTAAACTGGTCTCTCTCCTCCAGGACTAGTCAGGAACAAAATCTGTCCTTATTCTCTTGGGATTGAAAAGGAGATGGAATAGTGGCTCACTGTTGGGGTGTCCCTGTGGGCCTGTCCAGGTAGTCTGGACCCTGTCACCCAGCACACACTGGCTTGCTTTTCTACAGTCAGCAGATCTGCTCAGGGAATGAAAAATGCTGCTAATATCAGCCTGAAAAAAACATCATCAGGAAATTAAATCTGCGGCTTTAAAAAATCCCACACTACTTTCTGGCACTGCTCCGCCTCAGCCTCTCAACTGGGATCTCTCCTCCGGTCTGGGGGCCTCCTTCTGTGCCCTCCCTTTCCTATCTGGTCCTCCTACCCTGTCTCCCAGCCCCCAGCCTTCCCTCCTCCTCTCCCTCCCTCCTTTCTTATCCCACAGGACCTCCAGCCCTCCTTCTTTCTTCTCCCTGGGCTCCTTCTTTGTGGCTTCAGGCTTCTCTTCCTGTCTCCAGGCCTCCAGCGTTTCCTCAGCTCCACTGAGGCATCTGTCTGTCTTCTTTTCACTTCCCATCAGGGAATCCTAAATGCTGAATAGGCCCTTCAGATCAGGCCCTGAAGGGGACTTGGCTGCTGCACTGGGGGCAGGGGGAGGGGTGTGGGGACCTGCCCGGGCCATACAGAAGCCCATTGATAGGCAGCCCCTCAACACAGACAACCCAGCCCAGCCTCTATGGCTCCAGGCAGAGAAAGGTGTCCCCTGAGGTGGTGGCCAACATCCCATCCTTCGTGAATGACCTTAGTGTCTCTGGCTGGTGAGGGACCTTCACTCCCTTCCCTCCAAATCTTTCAAGCCTATCAACCCCACCATTGGTGTGAATACATTCATCCTGAAAATAATTTGTCAGTACATCTCCATCAGCGGTGCTGATTTCATTAATTGGAAGAATTAGCTCTTTGTGGCCAATGGAAGAATATGGAGCCAAAACACACGGTATGCTTTTCCCCAGTGACCCGGAGACCCTTGGACGAACTCCTGGGTGCCATGAAAATGGATCGGTTTGCAGAAAGAATATCAGTGGGTGTTTATTTAACATCACTCTCCATCGGTCCCCCACCCCCCAAAGACCTTCGAATTGCTCTCACATCTGGCTGCTTTTCTTCCTTCACGTTTTTTGTACAGAGCCAGGGCAGGGAGGAAACTTCATCAGTCCGAAAACATCCAGCAGCAAAGTGTAAATTAAATGTGCAGAGAGGCCAGGGAGGGGGAGATTTTATTCTAGGGGTAGAGGAGTAAGGAGACTGTCTTTAGTCCCACTCAGTATGGACAGAGCTCTTTCTGGACCCAGAGTCTGTCATTCGAGCTGTGTGACTTTCACAGAGATACTTAACCTTTCTGAGCCTCAGTTTCCTTCTGGTGAACTAGAGAAATAAATACTCATAGAGTTGTTGGAGGCTTAAAGGGCACAATATATGTTGAGTGTATGGCACAGAGCAGGCATGTGATTGAGGGCCACTACTACTAGTGGTCAAATTCGGAACAGAAAACCAACTGTTCCCACATCTCAGAGCCCCACCACTGCTAGCCCCACTCAGGGAGACAGATGGGCCACAGTTTATTCAAAGATGGGGGAAGGGGAGGCAGATGGACAAAAAAATGATATCAAGGGGATCGTAGGGGCTGACAAGTC